TTACCATTTTTTTCTTCAGTTGTCCGATTTATCTGTGTCTCAGTTTTAGTCTTAAAATTGGTTCCATTCTCAGAAACAGACGTCGATTCGTATGATCCATCACCGACATTAGAATAACCAATATTCATTCCGAAGAGCCTTCTTTGTATCTTGTGGAAAGTGATTCTGTTCGGCTGGGATGTGTCGTCTACAATATCGACCGTGAAGTTCTTAATTCGATCAGCCGATATATTGAGAAGCTCACTCAGTGACTCGACCATTAGTATTTTAAACTCCGGGGTCAACGTTGTGAGATAATCTGCAAAGGTGACATTCGCCTGTAAAATGATCAGTGTCATGTCGTCTTCTATGTCGGCAACCACAGGCGTCGTTTCTGGTGAAGGTGTGAAGTTGTTTAAATTTGAACTGCCACCCATCGTGCTTCGACAAAAGCCATCAATGAATTCGTAGCCCGCGTCACAAATTACCAGTCGGCATTTCTTGTTAATAGGGTCGTATATTTCATCAATTTTACACTCTGTGTTCGCCGGTTCTATTCCTGAATCGTCCCAGTGAGTATTGCTGAACAGGATGTGGGCCTTTCCGTCAAAGCCAAAGTTTATTAAGATCGTATAAGAAAGGGAGAGTTTCCACCTGGTTTTGAAGACATCCGAATGAAAATAGGGTCTTGCCAAGCGCGGCAAGTTGTTCTGGGAGAGAGAATGTATTTTTTTCTTCCGTTGTAGCATCATTTCCAAATCATATAGCTGGTCGATCTTTTTACGGAGGTAGGCCGTTAGGGTACTTTTGGCAATCTTTCTGCCCAGCCGTGAGATTTTAGACGGATCTCCCTTGGCATGCAGCAGCTGTGAGAATGTGGTTAGGTTAACGGAAGAGGTTTCTCGGTTCGAATCGGCCATTGTAATCAGGGTCAGCTTCTCCCCAGAATCTTCTAGCGTCGCGAAGGTCTCTTGGGGTCGTTCTGCAAGCGAATTGCCGCGCTGGGCAAGTGGCATGCGACCGGATATCGATTGCAGGCACAACTGAAAGGTAGTGATCCACAGACATCCAATTAAAGTCGTGTTAGCGGACACCCTTTCCCAGGGTGTGCCTACGGTCGGTTCCAACCAGGGAGTGCTAGTCAATTGCATCGTTACTCGGTACATTTAAATCACTTTTACGAATAAGTGCATTTATGATCGCTGTGATATTTACAAAAATTTCTTTATGGACGTAAGCGAGTTCATTCCAATAGTAATCCTGAAAAAGACAAAAAAAAAAAGAACATGATTAGAAAATTAAATAATCATAGGAGAAAAAAACGTCATTAGAATCGGAGATAAATTATTTTAACTGATATTCTACTTACGATCAGTGAAGTTAAGCAACTTCGGGTCTGGCCATGTTTGACCGTTGAAAATACTAGGTACTGTAAACTTGGATGTGCAGGTGGTGTAACGAATAATGTCTCGAAATTGTTAATTGGATAACCGAGTTCCAAATCTAGTCGAGTTATCTTCACTTACGCGCAAATACCCTTGGGAAAGGTATGAATCCACTTTTTCTTCCTCCTCCTATGGGTTAATTAGTAAGACTTGTGTCACTAAATCATTATTATTCCTCCTTCCCCACCAGACTCCCCCAAAAATATTTCAATCTAAAAATATTTTCTTGATTTAAATAACACGCAAAGCCGTAGAAAACGAATCCCTCAATCAATCAATATACAATTGTTTACCGAATAAAAGGCCCAAGTGCCGCTCAAGCTAAATTAAGTGGTTATTAAAGTGTAAAGAAGAAGCAAAAAGTGCATTTTATGGGGATATGTATGATATATAACAGCAGAACCTGGACATGACATTCAGATTGTAGCAATCGAAAAAGCATTCTCTCGGGAGTATTGGTTCTTGGGAAGATTTTGCTGTTGATGTATAAAACTTCCTCCTTACTAATGGAATACAAAGAGAATGGGAATGATTCTTCCAAGTCTAATTGCCATGGCGGGTCCAGACAATGAAAGTCTGAACTGGTGGAACTAAAGCATGTAGCTCGTATGGACATTTGACTTGGAAACAGCGATAGAATAGCGAGAGATTAACAATGTTTCGTCTGTGGGAAAGTGATATAAAAATTATTCATCAACCACAAGGCCGCGTAATCGCGTTTGAACACAATCAATGCAAGGCAGTGTGGACAATGCAACTGGAGCCTAAATATGGAAGTAATATTTTATATGTTGTTACCCCAACAATTCGACCGATATTCCATCTGTGTAATTCATATCTTATTGCACCTGCGCATTGGATGCACATATACGTTACGCATGTCAAAACTGTGGTCCGTTTTGTTACAGTGAAGAACCAATGTGTTTTATGTGTTGTTATTTAAATTGTCCCTTTTAAAGAGCACTCAGAATTTGTGGCTGCCAGTATTTACAGGAAGAGGAGAAATATATTAAAAATACATTCAAGAATCTTCAATACCCTAAATATTTCATTTTCGATGCGAAACAAAAGGCTCATAAAATATTGCAAAATAGAAGAGCCGTCCTTCCTGACAAACCTAATGAACCCAAAATATATTATTCGACCCACTAACAACTACAGTGTGACCCGGATATAAGAGACTCGGATATAAGAGAAACCCGGATATAAGAGAGATTTTCTCTGGTCCCAAATTAGAGCCCATACTTACCTAAACAAAATAGACCAGACCCGGATATAAGAGAAACCCGGATATAAGAGACTTCTTCTCCGGTCCCAACAACTCTCTTATATCCGGGTTACACTGTACAACCGAAAATGTTTCAAAAAATATTCTTTCAAAAAATTTTGAAACTACGTACATCTCTAGTTTTGTGCGCAACGCCATAAAATCCCAGTCCGATGAAATCCTAACGGATGAAATTCGTCACAAAACTTCCCAGTTTGTCATATTTTTCTAAATACTGTTTGTTGAAATATGAAATTGTACAAAATTATATATCGTTATACCATATATATATATATATATATATATATATATATATATATATATATATATTACATTCACTTACGTGCTAATACCCTTGGGAAATGTATGAATCCTCTTCTTCTCCCTCCAGCTATGGGTAAAATAGCAGGACAGACTGGGTCCTATAGCCTTGGATGGCAACTGGTCTAGGAGAAGGACAACTCTGAATTCCAAACCTTAGTGCACCAGGTCTCTGTATTCGGCCCTTCAAAAAGTGTGGATGGTCTTGCACGAAACCTTTACCACTATAATCAAATCTCATGTTTCGTTGTCGGGCTGTCGGTTTCCTGGGAACTGATCTGCTTGACTCTCATACGTCGAAATCGACGGGGAGAGAGTCGACTATATATATATATATATATATATATATATATATATATATATATATATATATATATATATATAATACCAAAGAGGATAGAATTCAAGTAGAACTCAATGTCCAGAATATAATAACTCTCACTAAAATTTTGATATTAGACCTGGTGTTATATTTTCCGATTTCTTTTTGAATTTGTAGGTCTGATGAATTGGATCATGTTTACGATTCCAATGTAGTAAATTATAACCATGGGATATTAGTGTTTGAGCCTTTTTTTATATATATATATATATATATATATATATATATATATATATATATATAGATAGATAGATAGATAGATAGATAGATAGAATCCAGGTAGAACTCAATGTCCAGGACAGTGCAAAAATATAATATAAAATTATAAAACAGAGCATTTACTTAAATATCTGTATCTATAAAAAGAATGTATAAACATGAAAATGTCTTAAAATAATTGTCGGACTTTGTCCATTTCATAATGTGTGACGTCATTTGTTTACATTTGGATACGCTTTGAGCAGATATGAATGTACATGAGAGATTCATTGAAGATTGAAGTTTAAAAGCAATAAAATCGACCTTGCTGATCGAATTTTATTGCTGGCTAGATCGGTTAACGCACGTCAGGCTATCTGACGGTTCTGTATAGGATACAGGTTCGATTCCTATCGTAGGACAAATACTTTCCATAAAAATTTCTCGGAAATTCAGGAGGGTAAAAGTAATTAATACTGTTTATTATAAAACAGAGCATTTACTAAAATATTTGTATCTATAAAAAGAATTTATAAACATAAAATTGTCTTTATTTATATATATATATATATATATATGTGTGTGTGTGTGTGTGTGTACATATATATATGTTATAACAATATATAATTTTATATATCAATAAACAGTATTTAGAAAAATATGACAATATATATTGCTGCCTAAATACACAAATATATATATATATATATATATATATATAATTCGTCCTTGCATGGAATACTGCTGCCATATATGGTCTGGTGCCCCTGCTGTTCGTCTTAAGTTCCTCGACAAGATCCAGTGACGGATAAGCAATGTGGTTGGTCTTGATCTGGCATCTCGTCTAAAGTCGCTCTCTCACAGACGAGGCGGCGCCTCTCAACGTCTTTTCTACAAATACTTTCACGGTAACTTCTCTGATGAACTACTTTCAATAGTGCCCGGACATGAATTTAAGCGTGCTACTAGGCTGGCATCTCAATCCCACCCTTTCTCTGTCGAAACTGTTAAATGTAGCCGTCTCTTCTACTCCAATAGCTTCATGCCTCGCACCTACCGTCTGTGGAATTCCTTTTCTCTTACTTGCTCCCCTGATAGCTATAATCTTCAACTATTTAAATGTAATGTCAATCGACATTTCCAGATGCCCTGACCTATTCCCTGATCTTCTCTTCAACCTTTCCTCCATTACGCCTCTTTACTCTCTTAAACCTTGCCAACCGAACGATCCTTTGTGGCCGAGCTGTAAGGGACGTCAGGCTATATGACGGTTTCGTATAGGATACAGGTTCATTTATTTTTGGAGTCTAAAAGAAAAGGATAAAACACCTACTGTTAAATGGAAATTAATCTGGAAAACCTGGACATGTAACCCCCATGTGCCCCATGTTATATTTGTCTTAACGAAAAATTTGAATTAATTAGATTTAAAAATAAGACCCATCTCTTAAATCAAAGAAATGAACTAACAGTTAACTGTAAACACTGTTATAAATTTAATCTATTATAGGGGTTGTAATACTTTCAATGATAATGATATGTCATTGTAAATTTAATAGATTATTATTTTTATTACCTGATAGTCCTCCTGTTGATATGAGTGTGCGTTGGTATATGCATACTATGTTGTTCATGTCGGTATGCATGTGTATGTATGTGTGCGTGTGCTTTTGTACTGCTGGATGTGTATATATGTATATATATATATATATATGTAAGTATGGTTTTATATATACATATATATATATATATTAAAAAGTAAGTCGGTAAAAAAGAGGAGAAAAGGAGAGGAGGATAAAGTATATGTATATATATATATATATGTATATATATATATATATGTGTGTGTGTGTGTGTGTGTGTATGCTTGTGTGTGTGTGTCCACATGTATTGTGTATTTCTATTTCTATTTACGTATATATTTCTATTTACGTGTACTTCTGTCTGTATGGATTTGTTTATGTATGTATGTAGGGATACATGTATATATGTGTATGTATGTGTATATATGTTTATGTATGCATGTATATGTATGTATATAGTTGAGTATGCGTTTATGTGTATGAGCGTATATATACTTTTAATTATAGGTATGTATATGTATGTATATATATGTATATATATATATGTGTGTGTGTGCGTGTGTATGTGTGTGTGTGTGCGTGTGTGTATGTTTGTGTGTGTAGACACCTATCATATGTGAGCTTGTTTATGTGTAGGTGTAGGTATGTTAACTTTGGTTTGTATCTACAGGTGCGTGTGTATATGTATGTGTGTATACATGTATATGTATATATTGTTGTATTTGTATGTGTGTGTTTTTGAATATATATATATATATGTATATGTATGTATATATGTATATACGCTTGGGGGTGTGCGTACTTACATCTGTGTATATGTGGATGTGTTGATATCGGTATTTATGCCTGATCATATGTTTGTATATGTGAAAGTATGTTCGTATTTCTTTGTATATGTGTATGTATGTATATCTTGGTGTATGGGAATGTATCATCTATACTAATTAAATTTATCTTTGGTTTAATTAAG